CCAGGAGATCTAGCTGAGATAATTGATGAAAGTAGCTATATTAAACAACAGATTTTCAGTGTGGAAGAAACAGCTTTTTATTGAAAGAAGATCTCATCTAGGACTTTCATAGCTAGAAAGGAGAAGTCAATGCCTCGCTTCAAAAATTCAAAGGAGAGGTTGACGTTCTTATTTGGTTCTAATGCAGCTGGTGAGTTTAAGTTGAAGACAATGTTCATCTATCATTCCAAAAATCATAGACCCTCTTTTAAGAATTATGCTAAATCTAATTTGCGCGTGCCTCTATAAGTGAAGTGACAAAGCCTGGATGACAGCACAACTGCTAGCGGATGAATATTTGAGGCCCTATGTTGAGCCCTACTACTCAGAAAAAAATTAAAAAAAAAAATTTTTGCTCACTGACAATGCACTTGGTCACCTGAGAGCTCTGATGGTGCTATACAAGGAAATTATTGTTGTTTTCATGCCCTCTAACATAGTATCCATTCTGCAGCCCATGGACCAAGGAGTAATTTTGACTTTGAAGTTTTATTATTTAAAAAATATGTTTCATAATGCTATACTTGACAGTGATCCCTCAAATGGATCTGAGAAAAGTCAAACTGAAAACCTTCTGGAGCTCTTCAGGTCCCAGGCTCTTCAGGAGCCACGGGTTGCAGTGCAGACATGGCCAAGTCCAAGAACCATACCACACACAACCAGTACCAAAAATAGTACAGAAATGGCATCAAGAAACCCCGATCACAAAGATACGAGTCTCTTAAGGGGGTGGACCCCAAGTTCCTGAGGAACATGCGCTTTGCCAAGAAGCACAAGAAGAAGGGCCTGAAGAAGATGCAAACCAACAACACCAGTGCCATGAGTGCTCGGGCTGAGGTTATCAAGGCCCTCGTAAAGCCCAAGGAGGTTAAGTCCAAGATCCCAAAAGGTCCTAATTGCAAGCTTACTTGACTTGCATACGTTGCCCACCCCAAGCTTGGGAAGCGCATTCGTGCCCATATTGCCAAGGGCTGCAAGCTCTGCCTGCCAAAGGCCAAGGATCAAATTAAGACCCTGGCCGCAGCTTCACCTGCAACTCCAGCTTCAGTTCCAGCTCCTGCTCAGGCTCCCAAAGGTGCCCAGATCCCCACAAAAGCTCCAGAGTAGAGGCCCCTGTCTGCCAATGTGTGGACAGAAGGACTGATTTGACCCCCAGGATGTTGTCTGTGTGGGGCTGGTGTCCTCCTGTGCTATTTGTACAAATAAACCTGAGACAGGGAAAAAAAAGAAAAGAAAAGAAAAGAAAAAGAAAACCTTCTGGAAAGGATTCACTATTCTAGATGCTATTGAGAACATTTGTGATTCATGGGAAGAGGTCAAAATATCAACATTAACAGGAGTTTGGAAAAAGCTGGTTCCAAGGGATGACTTTGAGGGGTTCAAGGCTTCAGTGGGGGAAAGTAATTGCAAATGTGATAGAAACAGCATGAGAATTAGAGTTAGAAGTAGAGCCTGAAGATGTGACTGAACTGCTGCAATCTCATGATAAAACTTGAATGAATGAGGATTTGCTTCTTACGAATGAGGAAATGAAGTAGAATCTACTCCTGGTCAAGAAGTTTTCTATTGTTGATATGACAACAAAGGATTTAGAACATGACATAAACTTGGTTGAGAAAGCATTTGCAGGGTTTAAGAAGATCGATTCCAATTTTGAAAGAAGTTCTACCATGGACCAAATGCTATCAAACAGCATCATTTGCTACAGAGAAATCTTCTGTGAAAGGAAGAGTCAATTGATGAGGCAAATTTCATTGTTGCCTTATATTAACATATTCCCACAGCCACCCCAGTCTTCAGCAACCACCTGATCAGTCAGCAGCCATCATAACCTCTACTGATGGCTATTTATTTTACTTCTTAGCATTTTGGAGGACTCTTTGAAGAAAGTTGTGACATGCTAGGCACCACAGTTCAATACTGGGGAAGATTCAATGATTCATAATCCATATAACATCATTAATACACTGTGAAAGAACTGATTCTCATTTTTAGACACTCACAACTATGAAATAAGTTCTTCTCTGGCCCAATCCCCTCTACTTCCCCCCATCCCTCTTCTGCAGTAATAGAGTTTGGTCACCCAGTTAGAGACTACATTTCTCAGCCTTTCTTCAGCTAGGTGTGGCTATCTGACAAAGTTCTTATCAGGATTATGAGCATAAATGATGTACATCTTCTGAATCATTTCTTTAAAAAAAATTGCTCACCCTCCAGGTCCTCTCTTTTTCCTTCCCACACGTAGAAATATACATGAGGTGCTAAGTTAGCGTTCACCATGCCCAGCACTATGATGGATGGCAGTGAAGACACTGGGCACCTCCACAAGTGGTTGTGCTTCTGTGTACTTTACTGTACAGTACTCTATAGAGTACAGTACTGTATTATTTGTGTGAAAAGTATTATAAACCTATTACAGTATAATACTATACAGTCAATGTGTTAGCTGGGTACCTAAGCTATCTTTGTTGGACCTACAAACAAATTAGACTTATGAACACACTAACAAAATGGAACTCATTTATATGTAGGGGACTTACTGTGTTCTCTAATTATTAAAAATGTGTTAATAAATTTGTTAGTTAGTGCTTTTGTATCCCTGTTAAATTAAGCAAAAATCAATGTTAAAAACATACTGCTGAAGTTGGATTATTAAACGAAAGAAAGAAAGAAACAAACAAACAGAGTCTTGCTTTGTGGCCCAGGCTGAAATGCATGGCTTGATTATAGCTCACTGTGACCCTGAATTCCTGGTCTTAAGGGATTCTCCTGCCTTAGCCTCCCAAGTAGCTGGGACTGCAGACATGTGTCACCACACCAGGAGATTTTTCATTTCTTCTTAAGTCAATTTAGGTAGTGTCTTTCTAGGAATTTGTCCATTTGATCTACATTATCCAATTTGTTAGCATACAGTTATTTATAGTATCCCTTCTTAGTCCTGTTTATTTTGGTAAAGTAGTTAGTGATGGCGTTTTAAAAAAATTCTTAATTTTATTACTGTGTCTTGTCTTTTTTTCTCATGAAGGGTTTGCCAATTTTGTTGCTTTCAGAGAACCAACTTCTGGCTCACTGATTTTTCTCTATTAATATTCTCTTTATTTCTGCCCTTACCTTTACTATTTCCTTTCTTCTACTTGTTTTTGGTTTAGTTTTCCTTTTCTAGTTTCATGCCTTTAAATCTTGCCCCACCATTTCCAACTTATCTTCCTCAACTGTTGCCAAAGTTGTGTGTCTGAAACACAAATTTAATAGTGTCATTCAGATTAAATTTTTTTTTTTTTTTGAGTTGGAGTCTCACTCGGTCACCCAGACTGGAGTGCAGTGACTGCTCCCGGCCACCGCAGCCTCAATCTACTGGGCTCCGGCGATCCTTCCGCCTCAGCCTTCCAAGTAGCTGGAACTGCAGGCGCGCGCTAACACGCCCGGCTAATTTTTTGATTTATTGTAGAGATGAGGTCTCGCCAAGTTGCCCAGGTGGGTCTTGAACCCATGGGCTCAGGCCATCCACTCACCTCAGCCTCCCAAAGCGCGGGATTACAGGCTGAGCCACCGAGCCCGGTTTGATTAAATTTTCCTAACCGCTCCTCTCACTTATACAAAATAAAATCCAAAATTTGTAGACTACCAAAGAAGGTCACACTCTACCTTACCAATCAAATCTACCTTTCCACACACATCAAATCACCTAGAAATATATATATTATTGATTTTAACCTCTGTTCCTTTGTACATGTGTTCTCTCAATTTGTGTTTTTCTCCCACTGACTTTTTAGAAAATGCCCTTGTTTAACTCCAGTCACCCACACGTTTTGGTTAGTTATGTTCTCTTCCCTGCTACCACTGCACTTGGCACAAACTTCTATTAGAACACTTGGTAAATTAATGGTTAATACACGCCTTCTTCATTATTCCGTGAATTCCAGGATGTGGGATCCCGTCTTAGAAATTATGTCCCCGTAGCCGAAACATAGTGAATGCTCGATGAGTGTGGAGGTAGTGGGGAAAAGTGGTAGGGTCTGGTAACACTTCAAGTTCAAGTGGAAACATGAGAACATGGATAATGTACTTCAGCGAGTGAAATGGAAGACAAAAGAGCCATGGAGAATGCCCTCACATCGCAAAGGGTTTTAGTTCATAACACAGAGAATACTGATATCCTCGGGCGACGAAATAACGGGTGCAGCCCAGAGATCACTTCAGATGATGCTCAAGCCCCATCACCACCCCCATGTTACCGCATTGAGGAAGGGACGTTGAGAAATGCACCAAAGGTTAAGCTGAGTGCAGGTTCCCAAAGCAACTGCAGTTTATTGGAAGTCTGTGTGGTTTCCCTCAATCTTTGGGCAAGCCGCGAACGCTGGCAGGAACACGCGTCAGGACACGCAGCGCACAGCTCCTTCCCCGATAGTCGCCTGCAAGCCTAGTTTGGAGGCTCGAGTCATTGCGCATGCGTCAATGTTTCCCTGTGAGGATGGGTGGGGCATAGCCTTTGCTCCCTCGGAGATCCTGAGGGGGTGGAGCCAAGCTGTTTCCAAGGTGACGGGGCGGAGGCCTCGGTGGTCGATTGAGCAGGTCTGAGCGAGATTCCCGGAGGGCTGCGCGTAGTCGGCTCGTCGGCGCTATCATGGCGGGGGTGCTGAAGAAGGTGAGACGAATGGAGGTCACTGCTGGAATTTAGACGGTGGGAACAGATTCGGCCTGATAGACCCTCTTCCCACGGGTGGTGGCAGTCACTGGCTCAGTCTCAGCACTGCTTTTGGGGAACTTTTTCTGCGCGGCCCTCGGGGTGACCAGCTTATTGTCTTCGTTCAGGCAGAAAAGAGGGTCCAAACAAGCGGGACTGAGAGACTGGTCGCTGGCTTTAGGCCAGCTTTAGCCAGGGGAGTCGTGGCTTTGCTTTCCCTTAGCATAGTGGACGCGTGGAAACTTAACAGCGTGAATCATGTTTTGTTTTTCAACAGACCACTGGCCTCGTGGGATTGGCTGTATGTGACACGCCACACGATGTAAGTGCCTTTTTTCTTTCTTCATCCTGGGTCCCCCGGAAGACTAGACCCCTGCTAGTCTTGACTATTGCAAGGTTAACGGGATACGGATATTTCAAGATTTCAAGCCCCAAATGAGAGTCCAGCGTGAGCTCTTGAGGCAAAGTCGATATCTGTCTACTTCGTTGATACAGGCCACTTGTTTTTTTGATCATGACCTCTTTGTTGTGCCACTTTTCTTGTTGACTTTTTTCTTGGCATTCTCCTGACTTCACTTGTACGTGCTGCTGTCAGTGCCCTTCCAATCTATATCTCCATTTTCCACCTTTTCCTGCCCCACCGTTTCTGTTTAGGTGTTCTAGATTCCATACATTTGAACTTATTGAAGGTATGAGCTAACATTTGCCCTCTTTTCCCATCTACAAGGTTTTTCCCATCAGTGTGCAGAAGTGCTTCCATAAAGCAACAACCACCACCTCCCTTGATCCTTCTCCTCCCTAACATCATTTCTCTACGTTCTCTTATAGATAACTCAAAAGAGTTACCTGTACTTAGTTACCATCTCCAGTTCCCAGTTGCCTCTCAGCTTTGGCCAGAACTGTGCCTTTCAAGGTCACCAGTGATCTCCATGCTGCTATATCCAATGATTGGCTCACATCTCTCATCCTAACTGACCCAATAGTAGCATTTCACACATTTGACACTCTCCATCAAACACTTTCTTTGCTGGACTTCAGGACTCCCTTGGTCTTCTGTTTTTAATCCCCTTATTCTTTTGCTTTCCCTTTTTCTGATTGTTCCTCTTATCCGCACTTTTGGATTTTGAGGTTCATCAGAACTCAATTCTTGGACTTTTTTCTCTTTTTGGATTTGTTCTCTGCTGATGACTCGACCCAATCTAATGGTTTTAAGTACCACTGTTACCTCCTAGATTTCCATATCAAGCATTGACCTCTCCCTTTATGAAAGTCTTGTCTCTTTAATTGCTTTGTGGATATATCCACTTGTGTGTTAGCCAGGCAGCCTAAACTTAACATGTCCAAAGTGGGGTTTCTGATTGTCCTAAATCTTGCTCTTTTCTCAGACATGCTCATCTAAGTGAATGACAGCTCCATTCTTCTGACTCAGGTCAAAAACTTTGAAGTCACATTGATTCCTTTCTTTCTCTCACATCCAACATTTTTTATTTTAGTAAATCTTCTTGGTACCACCTTCAGAATATATCCAGATCTTGACTACATCTAACCATCATCTCTACTACTGACGTTTTCTCTGCCATCATCATCAATCGCTACTGTGGATAGTTGCATTAACTTTCTAACTGCCTTTCCATACTTGTCACAATCTGGTCTTTTTTTCCAAACAACTAGAGTCAGTCTTCTAAAATGTAAGTTAGATCATGTCACTCCTTTCTTTAAAACCCTCTAATGGCTTTTCCTTTCACTCTAAAAGTCAAAGTTCCTATTATGACCCTCCAGTTCACTCGTCTGCTGATTGATCTTCTTCGTTGTCTGTCTCTACTATAATGTAGGTTTCATGAAGGCAGGGATGACTTTTTTATTGTTTTGTTCTGCCAGAACTCTGACTAGCACATGGTATGTGCTCAGTAAATAATGTTTGTTGAATAAATGTCTTACACTTACTAAGATCACATGACTTTTGTCTCATTGTCTAGAACTGAACTCATGGTTTAACTCTTTTAGAAGTATTATTTTCCTGTGGACTGTATTTTTCTTGAGGATATCAGAATCTTTCTACTCCTCAGCTGGGAATTTGAACATCGTAGTTGATACTTTTCTTATCCTTGTAGCCTTGTATTTATTCCACTAGGAATTAACTCTTATGGATTTTATGTAATTAAACTAAAATTTCAAATACCAAGAAAAATTAATAAACTATCTTGGTTACATAGGTATATTTATGCTTATGTTTACTAAATATAAACTGTTATGAGTAAAGTTCTGCCTAAGCAACTTCTTATTAAGTGATTAACTGCTGTACTGAACTTTAAGTTCAATGTGCTTTAATAAATTCTGTGCAGTGACTCACTCTCTTGGTACTTTTTCTGTTGGGGCTTTGGTGTAGGCTTTATTCATGTGGTACCAACTCAGTCATAATCAGAAGCAAGAGCACTGAAGTATTACGACGTATTCAGTTAAATTTGATCATACTGATGATCTAATGTTTATATATATGCATTTCTAAAGAAATTCAAATAAAAATGGAAAAAAAAGAATTTGCGGTGTCTAGGATCTAAATTTGAGAAATAATGATTTTTTTGATTTTGAAAAGAGATCGCTAGTACTATGTTAGTGTTCCACAAGTTATCATTCCTTTGATTTATAGACAACTTTTGTTATACATACAACATACAGAAAGTTTCCACATTTATACTGAATAGTTTTGTAAGTTGTAAAGGTGTGGATAGGGCATAGACATGAAGAAGTTGCACATAGGTACAAGGAAGTTTAAAAGAGTGGTGTGAGGTTTTATCTTTGTAGTTAATGAGACTATTTTTAAAGTGTTCCATGAAATCTTTGGTCATTTTTTAATCTATGGATATTTGTATGGCTTGTCTTTTCAGAGGCTAAGAATATTGTACACAAAGATTCTTGATGTTCTTGAGCAAATCCCTAAAAATGCCGCATATAGAAAGTATACAGAGCAGATTACAAATGAGAAACTGGCTATGGTTAAAGCGGTAAGTAGCTAAATCAATTTTGTTTTCTTGGGTTTATGGTATCCGGTGTAACATTGAATATTTTTGGCATATTCTACACACTTTTCTTTCTTCTGTTCTCCTTTCTTTTATGCTTTTCCCCCACCCTTTCACCCTTTTATTCAGCAAACTCCTATTTATTGAGTGCTTTCTTTCTTTTTTTATTGGGTGATTTCTGTATGCAAGACACTATTAAATACTGGAGTGCAAGAATAAGATCAAGTCCCATCACTGAGGTATCACTGCAGCTGTTCCTTTTACTTCTCTTCCCTGTTTAGTCCTTTATTAATCTTATGCTGCTTATTTGTAGATGCATCAGTCTTGATCTCTTTTCTCTAATCTTAGCATAGAGAACAGTAAAAAGCAAAACAAAAAAGATGTTGTTTTCAAAAAAACTGTCAAAAGACTAGACTGCTATCAACTAGTAGTTAATAAAAGGCTAGACTGTTATCAGCCAGCAGTTAACAAAGTAAAAGACTACTACTGCTGATTATTTCATACCAAACTATATTGCACTATTGTTCAATTTTCATATTAGCTGTTACTTCATGTACTTCCTTTAATTGTCTAACATAGTGTTCATAAACTCTGAAAGTAGTTTATATATATGCATATGTGATCCTAATATATCTTAATATTAGATTACCAAACTAGTTCAAAGAGAATTCTTATCTTTTCCTTAGGTATACAGCAAAACAATTGCAATTTGATTTGGAACTTTTATTCCTAACTTGGAAATTATGGACGTAATTTATAGATTAAAGACTCAAAAGGGGAGGTTAGCATTTCTTTTCATGTCTTCCTTAAGGAAAACGAGCTTATGCATTTTTTTCCTGTTACAAAGTAAGACACTTCCCTTTTTGTTTTCATGAAATGACTCTTGTGCTCTGCCCTTGATCCTTTTTCTTTTTTCCTTCACAGTAACCTTGTTTTTCTTTAATCATTTATTCTCTGTGCTCTCTTTTTAGCCTCTTCCATTTTATTATCATCTTTCATATAATCTCAAAATATATTTAGCTTGTTCCTATCTTAAAAGAAAAAACTGCATTCTTTTATTTTCCTTTACTTACTGCCCTATTTTTATCTCTTTCATAGCCAGTGTCAACTAAAGAATAGTTCACGGTTTTATTTTTTTACTTACTAGCTCTAAAATTTTTTTCTTTGCTATTTCAGTTGCTTTAAAACTAATTGATCTGTTTGTAATCCTATCATACTTTATTTATATGCGCCACACTATCGATAATAGCATGTTTTTTTCAATCTTATGGTAGAGTCGTCCCTTGGTATCCCTAAGAGATTGGTTTCAAGACCCCACAAATACCAAAATCTTGGGGGTGCTCAAATCACTTATATAAAATGGCATAGCAACTATACATATCCTCTGCGTAACCTTCCATATACTTAAATATCTTAGATTACTTATAGTACCTACTACAATGTAGATGCGATGTAAACAGTCACTGTATTTTATTTTTTAATTGTCCTATTATTTTTACATTAAAAACACTTTTCATCTGCTGTTGGTTGAACTTCACCATGGTTAGTTGAATTCATGGATGTGGAACCCAAGGGTACAGAGGGCCAACTGTAGTGTCCTGCTTAAAATTTTGCTGTGGTTTCCTGTTCAGTGTTTCTCAAAGGCTGAGTTTAAGGATTAGTGCTGAGTTGGTTGTATGAAACTCACCAACATACTTTTATCTGCATGGTTTTGATGTATAGCTATGTTTGGGAGCCACCAGCTTAACAGGGCAAAGCCTTTAGCATCGTACAGAAGGCCTTCCAAGGTCTGGCTCTTGTCTACTCTGTCATTTCCTATTTTGTACTCTCTACTCCAGCAACACCAAACTGCTGGCAGTTCTGTGGATTTCATGCAATTTTATTTTTGTGTTCATTTGTGTTTTTTCTCTTCCTGGAATGCCTTGTCTGGCATTTCTTAGTCATCAAGACTTATCAGTTTTTCTGAAGTCTTTTCTTATCTTAAGTAGAGTTTGACATTTTCCTCATTTTTCTTTCATTGTACCTGGTCACACTGTATTTATTTATGTCTCCTTTACTGGTCATAAGCTACTTGTGAATGATATTGGATTCATCCTTATATCCTAAGAATCTAGCGTAGTACCTGGCACATAAGCTCCCTTAGAAATGTTTGTTTATCGAAAAGTCTAAATATAACTAGGTTTTACAACCTCAAGTACTTCAGAACAGTTGCATTGCTGATTACTGTTTTTGCTAAAATTATCAGATTTTTAACCATGCATAGAGCACACACAAAATCTTTAGTGCATAATGCTATGATTATAAAATATCTGTTATGAAGTCTAAAATAGAAAAAAAGTAATTTTTTTCCCAGATTTTTTCTCGGGAGATAGTAATAGCATATTGGTGAGAAGCATTGGTTTGTATTCTATCTGCTGAATGTCTTGGCATATTGCCCGTTTTCTCTGTCTCAGTTTCCTCATCTGTAAAGGGGTATAACAACTCCTTTCTTGAACACTTATTGTTAGGGTTGAATGAGATAATATATGTAAAAAACCTGACAAAGTCCCCAGTGTATAGTGAGCATTTAGTACATGGTACTTCGTTAACCTTCATGACATTGTGCTATTGGTAAATAAAAATCACATTATTGATTCATTGTCAGTAAGAGGAATTTGAATTGTTTTTCCAACACAGCTTTTCCTGAGTTGAAAGTGTTGTTGAATATTACTTGCCTTCTTTACCGTCATCCTCTCGAGTGTCTTAGAATTGTGACCAGCCTCCCTGTTTTGTTTTGATTTTTGGTTTTACAACTGAGTTAATTCTCTATTAAGTAATCTTTCTTAAGCATGCTCATTTATTTTTTCCTTCTTTCCCCCTTTTCAACTACTTTTACTTAGTCATTTATTTAACAAAGAAACATTTATTGAATGACTGATACATAACATGTATGGTTCTAGGCACAGAAGCTTGTGCCTCGTTGGCAGTGAACAAAACTCATAACGATTCTTGACCCTTTGGAGATCACATGTTGGAGATCACATGTTAGTGATGAGAGGCAAAAAAAAAAAAAGCTAAAAATTAAGTAAATAAAGAGGTACATAGTATGTTAAAAGATAGTAAGTGCAGTGAAGAAAATTAAAACAAGGAATAATGATGTGTACCATGGTGGGAAAGGGGGATGTTATGATATGTATTAGTTTCCTCTGACTGCTATAACCAATTTCCACAAACTTGATGACTTAAAACAACAGAAATGTATTCTCTTAAATTTCTGAAGGCAGGAGTTGGAAATTGGTACCAGAGACCCAAATCAAGGTGTCATCAGGGCCATGTTCCCTCTGGAGGCTATGGGGTAGAATCTGTTCCTTGCCTCTTTCAGCTTCTGGTGACTTTTGCCATTTCTTGGTTTGTAGTCTCATTTCTCCAATTTCTGCCTCCATGATCACATTACCTTTTTCTTTTCTGTGTGAAGTTTCCCTCTGCCTCTCCTCTATTAAGGACACTTATAATTGCATTTAGAGCCCACGTGGGTAATCTAGAAAAATCTCCTTGTGTCAGTATCCTTAACTTTATCACATCTGGCAAAGTAACATTCATAGATTCTAGGAATTAATAGGTGTATATGTTGGTGTTCCTTGTGGGGCATTATTCAGCCTTTCACAATATAAATTATCAATAGTCCTCACTGAGAAGGTGATATTTGGGCAAAGATTTAGAAGAGAGTGAAGAAACAAGCCATGTGGATATTCTGAGCCATCCAGCAGTTGCTACAAGGCAGGAACATACCGATTTTGATTAAAAATATTTTTTTTTGTTTTTATTTTCCTCCCACTTTTTATTTCATCTGTGGGCCAAAAACCACTTTGATGACAAAGTTTTATTTACATATGTATGTTTATATATAGGGCATGGTGTCTGGCTCTCAAAAAACTCAGTTTACTAGAAGAGAAATAAATGTCATTTAATGTTGTAAGTACTATATTTATTAGCATTTTGTTTTAAAAAATGTTTAAGAAATATGTACATTAAAAATGTGTCAGAAAAAAGGACATTTTTGGAACACGAGGGCCCTTGTGACCCTCCAATTTACTACCCTTGTAAAGGTAGTGACTATTTGGACTTCTAGCACAACAGATTCATTTTGCCTGTTTTGAACTTTATTTAGGTGGAATCATTAATATGTGCCCTTTTGTGTCTGATTTTTTATCTTAATAATCGTGTTTGAGAAACTCATCTATATTATTGCATGTAGTAACAGTTTGTTCATTATCATTGTAATTTGTTAATCCATTCTATTATAGATGGTCTTTTGGGTTGTTTTTATTTTGGGGCTATGATTTATGTTGCTGTGAACATTCTTGAACATGTCCTTTGTTTATTGTATTATGCATTTCTGTTTGGTATATACCTAGCAGTGGAACTTCTGTGTCATAGAGTAGCATTTACTTAATGCTAATGCTTTCAAAAGAAATACAGGAGTCACTAAGAAAAACAAAGTTATTTTAAAATCTGTGTTTTAGAAAGACTGAATTAGGCATTATATTTCCAACCCTTGATAAACATTTAACACTTTTTAATATTTAAGACAGCAAAGCACTAAAGTAGCAGAGAAATGAAATGAGTTTCCATCAAAACTTAATAAGGGTATAATGAAAGAAAAATTATGTTTGTTATAAGCACTTTTTAATATATGGATTTAAAAAATAGGGAATATTGAAACATTCAGACATTGTGCCCCTTTGTTTAATTTTTTTCCCCCCTGAAATTATAGGAACCAGATGTTCAGAAATTAGAGGACCAACTTCAGGGTGGCCAATTAGAAGAGGTGATTCTTCAGGTAATGAAAAAGTTGAACATTTAAGTGTTTGGTTTTAAATTTTCATTTATATATAGAGGCACAAACTGACATTCTAGAAAGAAAGGAAAAACTAAATTTCTTAATTTACTTCAATATATCAAATATGCGACTAATTACATAGAGAAAATATGGTGTCTCTAATGTGTATGTCAATTAACTATAGTTTAAGTAGTAATACAATATTACTGTGATTTTAATAGTTTTATCTTTTTGTATATAATTGCTTATTTTAAGAGTGTGGCATTTTTTAAATAGGAGAAAACAGATGTTTTCAACTGTAAAAGTAAAATTTATTTTTATGTTTATTTTTGGTTGGAGCTTTTGACCAAGTTAAAAATCAATTGCACAGTATGTTTGTGAGCTTAATTTTACGTTGTTTCTCAAATACTAATGCTGACAAATAATTATATTGAATAGTAAAACATAAGCATGATTATGAAGTGATATTAGAATTAGAAAAATTATCAGCATTATTAATTACATTTAGAATATTTAAGTGTTAAATTATTCTATTTGGAAATCTTTTACTTCTCTCACTGTAGCCACTAACTTATACAGGGAGAAAACCTATAGTTTAATTTTGTTTAATCTGAATTTGAATTATTTTCCTTTGTTGTCAGTTGTTGTCTCTTGTCTTCAAATGAATTTTTTTCTGCCACATGTAGAGGTTTTCATATTTTTAAATTTGGTCAAATTTTGTCCCCCTCTGTCTCCCTTACCCCATATTAAAGGTTTAGAATGTCTTCCCCTTTAAGTGTCTGATAAATATTCAGTTCTATTTTGTTTAATTTTTAAATTTTTGTATCTTTTTTCAAATGTAAGCATTTCTTATGTTCTGTGCTTTTTATTGACGGGCAGATAAAAGGAAATATTGGATAGCATTGGAGATGAGGGAGCTGTATCACCAACAGATGTGATATACCAGTTCAAAAGAATTGTTAAATGACTGGAAAAAGAGGAATATAGCAGTCAGACAGCTTTCTATGAATGTATACTGTTCTAGTTATTTGAAGGTCAGTTTTCCTGGCCCTTACATTGACTTGCCAGTTGATACAGTGTGATGGGAACTTGCTTATAAACCTCTTCCTGTTCTCTTTTGTGCCACCTGATTTCACGTTGATCATGACTTTAACTGATGTATTAATTTATCTTGGAATTATAGTTTTAAGGCATATTAAGTACTTTTAAGTTAGCTGTGTAGTTCTAAGTCAGCTGTGTAGTTCTCCACATTTTCATCAGCAATATTAAGGGTAAATTTCAATAATGTTTTATTTAATCCAATATATCTAGAGTATTGTCATTTAATCATATAATCATTACAAAAATATTGAGATATTTTATATTCTCTCTTTTAGTAAGTCTTCAAAGTTTGGTGTATATTTTATACTTTGCAGCACATCTGAATTTGAACTGGCTAAGTCTCAAGTGTTCAATAGCCTCATGTGGGTAGTAGCTACCATTTTAGCCCCATTTCTAGGCAGGCAGTATGAGAGGAATGAGAAAAGAATGGTATGTCAGAAGCCAGAGAAGAGGGAGGACATAGGCATCCGGGGCGAATGCAGCTGGGTCCAGATCCCTGTAAAAGGGCTGATTCTCAGTGGTGATCAGGACTTGGGGAGACTGAGAAAGCATGGGTGTTTCAAGAGACCCAAGGAAAAAGGCAGTCAGGGAAACAGTTATCCTTTGGGAATATTTTATTAGTATTTAAATTATTTTCTCATTTTAACATTAGTAAAACCTCTGCCCCCTGATTTCTTTTTAAAAAAAAAATTTTTACTTTTAAAGATGTGGGATACAATTCAGGGTTAGGTATACAAATGTTCATTATGTAGGTACCTTTGTTGATGGGTTGTGCCCTCCCCCCAATTCATTGTTTGTATAGTTGCTGCTAAGCCTAGATGGGCTTTTTGTATTGCTGGCATAAATGGGGCATTGCCTTTTAATTGTGGAATAATATTGGCTTCTGAACACTTATTTAATCTGAACACTTATTTTGAGTTGGAATTCCTTCTCTAACATCCTGACAAACGTTTAATAATGTTAATCTAAACTATCTAGAGTTGTCATATGTCTTTTTTGTTGTTGAAAAAGGTGTGAAATAAGAAGCTACCTAAAATATGTTATAAGTTGTGTTTGAAAGGAAAAATTAAATGAAACAATCTAATTAACGAATTAGTTCAATCAGTATATATTTGCTGTACATCTATTGTGTTCTATAGTCTGCATATTGCTGTGGTGTAGACTCTGGGTCTCAAGCTGTTATGGGTCATGGAATCAGTTAGTTGGACAGTGATTAGCATTTAAAGATACAAAAGAAAATAGAGTGTCTGATTTTTAATAAGGATAATTCTGTTTTTTCTTAGTTATGTGTGTGTATTGTAAATCCCACAGTAAAGTGCTTTTTGTTGTTGTTGTTGGGGTTTTTTTTGTTGTTTTTTTTTACCGTGGGCCACAGTAAAATAAAGTTTGAAAGCCACTGATGTAGATGAAGAGGAATACTTCTGATTCTCAACAAACTTGTGAAACACAATTAAGATAAAAAAAAAATCTTACCAACTAAACTTTTGAACCCTATAGCAGATTTCAATCGGAATAAATGAAAAGATATATTTTCGTACTCAAGATTGTATAGCTATGAGAATTAAGGTAATTATGTAATGTTCAACATTTGATAGTGAAATAGATTGTGAAGTACTAATATGAAAGTAGTAGCTCTATTAGTTAAATTTAAGTTGTTAGCTCTGATAAGTGCCTGTTGAACAGTAAAATTAAATGATCTTTTACAAAACTTTTATTAACAGGCTGAAAATGAACTAAGTCTGGCGAGAAAAATGATGCAATGGAAACCTTGGGAGCCGTTAGTGGAAGAGCCTCCTGCTGATCAGTGGAAATGGCCAATGTAATCATTAAATGACTTTGGTGGGTTGATGGGAAACTGATGTAATTAAACATTCTGTTATATTAAAAATGTGTCCATATTATTGACAACTTATAATTAAGAAAACTGAGAGAATATATTTAGGAAACTTGTTAGAATTAGTGATTATGGCAGTAGGGTCTTGTGAATCAGTTTTTGATTTGTAAAATGTTGACACAGATTACTTCAAAGATGTGATTTCTTTGAGCAGAGAGGTTGTGGGATGATTTGAAAATTAATTAGAAAAATCTCTACAGATTTTCAATGCAGAGGCTATAACCAAAAAGTTTCTTTAGTAGTACCTTCAATATGCATTTAATTTTTTAAATTACTCGGACAAGAGAAAAGGCCCTTAATTATTATTGTCTAAACAAATTTTTTTTTTTTTTTTTTTTTGAGTTGGAGTCTCACTCTGTCGCCCAGACTGGAGTGCAGTGGCCGCTTCCGGCCACCGCAGCCTCGACCTGCTGGGCTCCGGTGATCCTTCCACCTCAGCCTTCCAAGTAGCTGGAACTACAGGCGCACACTACCATGCCCGGCTAATTTTTGATTTATTGTAGAGATGAGGTCTTACCTACCCAGGCGGGTCTCAAACCCACGGGCTCAGGCAATCCACTCACCTCAGCCTCCCAAAGGTGTGGGATTACAGGCTGAGCTACCGAGCTTGGCTTGTCTAAACAAATTTATAGGTCACTGTTTGAAGTAAGTAGTAAGAGGGAATTTTTTTTTTTTTTTTTTTGAGTCGGAGTCTCACTCAGTCGCCCACACTGGAGTGCAGTGGCCGCTCCCGGCCACCACAGCCTCGACCTGCTGGGCTCCGGCGATCCTTCCGCCTCAGCCTTCCGAGTAGCCGGAATTACAGGAATGCGCTACCACGCCCGGCTGATTTTTATTTATTGTAGAGATGAGGTCTCGCTGCCCAGGCGGGTCTCGAACCCGCGGGCTCAGGCAATCCACTCACCTCAGCCTCCCAAAGGCGCGGGATTACAGGCTGAGCCACCGAGCCCGGCTGGGAATAATGTGATAAAATAGCAAAAGTAGCTGGTGATAAAACTTGAAATTGTAGTTAACCTCCTTGGCTGTGATCTTATGTATATAAGATAGAATTTAAATATATACTTATATACTGATTACAAAATCCATAATAAATGCCATTTTATTTTAATCTTTATTTGAATTATTTACTCTATTTACTCTGTTTTCATATAGTCTTAGTTTTATTATATTTTGCTACTATGTTATTTTTGAAAACCACCAAATTAGAATTAATTGTACAATTGAAGACATGGATTTGATAAAGAGATTGCTTATTGTACAGAGGTAGTTGGACATATCCTCTTTTGTCATATTTAAGAATGTTAGCTTTCTGTTCCTTGGCCTTTATTTATTTATTTTTTAATTTTTTGAGTTAGGGTCTCACTCTGTCACCCAGGCTAGAGTGCAATGGCACGATCATGGCTCACTGCAACCTTGACCTCCTGGGCTCAGACGACCCTTCTGCCTTAGTCTCTCTAGTAGCTGTGACTACAGGCGCTCACCACCGTGCCAGCTAATTTTTTTAGTTTTTAGTAGAGAAGAGGTCTTTCTATGTTGCCTGGGCTCGTCTCAAACTCCTGGGCTCAAGCGATCTGCCTACCTGGGCCTCCCAATGTGCTGGGATTACAAGCGTGAACTACAATGCCCAGCCTTTAATTTTTTTTGATCAACCCAACTACATTAGGATTGAGGTAGAATTTCTGAAAATGAAGAGACATTAAGAGTTCCTTAAGTGTATCTGCCATATGGATAGGCTTATATTCAAAACGTCTTAGTCCTATAGCTATAAATTCAAAGTGGAATCACCAAGTAATTTTCACTACGCCTCTAATATGTAGGTGGAGATCAAAACAAGGCAAATGCTGTTCAGGGAAAGAAGTTGGCAAGCTTAAGGTTAAACAAAAAGAAAATTTCTTGTCATATGTTCTCACCTTGTCTTCCTAGTTCCGCATGATTTTTAAATACCCAGTTAAATATAACTGGGTATCTCCTTCACAGATATTACTGTTGTGGGTTTGTGTGTATGTGTCCACGCACACACATGTGCATGCATGTGTATATTTTGCTATCTTTTGTGGCAAAACAAAATCTTTCTGAATGAGAAAAAAATGTATCTTTCACTCTCCATAGAACTGTAAAATGAATGCTGAATAAATATTAAATAAGATGGATTGAGTTACTTCCTAGAGGTTAGAGTACTAGAGAGCTCCTTCTGGCAGGGAAGTGAGAAATGCATCACAGGGCAAGTCAGAAGCCCAGGAGTTCTCATTACCATTGTTCTAGTGTCATCATGAACTCTGACTAAATTGAGACAAGTTTTCAACTTTTTAGAATGACCTATTTCCAACATAAAAGAAGTAGAATCTATGATGTATAACGTTTTCCGTTCTGAACATTTACTTGAATAAATACATTATTGAGATCAACTATACAATCCTAAGGTGTGTTCATGGATGCTTTTAAGCTAATTTTCTAACCAATCAGGTTGGGTTATTTTTCAGGTCCTTTGGACACATAAAAACAGAAAGATGACTTGCCATGTCTTTGTCATACTTTCAGTTCTGTTTCTCGTGATCCTTGGGCATCTTTTGTGTTTCACCAACAGTGTTACTGAATCTTAGTTGTTAAAAAGGTGACTTTACTGATGTTTACACTAGAAATGCTAGTTGTAGAGTAGTAGTTATCATAGAAGTAATAAATAATAATAGTTAATGTTGAGACTTTAATATGAATACCAGGCACTGTTGTAAGTACTTGACTAATTTCACTCATTCAATCTGCATTGCAACCCTGGGAGTGAGATACTCCCAATGATCTTCATTTTCTAGGTAAGAAACCAGAACCCAATGTAATCAGTGTTACCCTTTAATTGTTCATCGTGGGGCTCATGAGGAACTGAAGCAAAGATATGGTTTCTTAACATATCCAAGATCACATAGCTACTAAGATAGGGAGTTAAACTTTGAACCCAGGCAGTCTGGTTCTAGAACTCATGCTTCTATTATATTATCTTTATGAGTATGCGAGGAATGCTGTCACTCCTGCTGCACTGTATGGGCTGTACCAAACAAACTTAAATCCTTTCTTGAATACCTGTTAAGAACAAATATGAGCAGAAGTAGTAAACTGGATTTCATTTTGTGCAAAGAACATCATGACCATAAGCAGACAATGTAAACAAGACATGTATCTAAGGAACATTGCAAGCTGGTCTATCACCCTGCCATTTCAACTACCTACAGGTTACACCTGATAGTTTTTACTCCTTCAGTCTTTTCCTAGTAGCTTCCTTAAGCGTCCTGATCGCTTTGCAAATGATTGTTTCATTCGAAGATCTTCAGTGTTTCAAGTGGCTTCTAGACTAATTTGAATAATTTTCAGAATGGCCGATTTCACTTCTTCCCATAGTTTTCATTCAAGTTAATCACCATACTCCAGATGTTTCAAAGGAAAGAGAAGCTAATCAGTTGGAGCTTTAAAAAAGAAAAAATGGCAGCAAAGTTGATGCCCCCTTTCTCCCACACTTGGACCTAGTGCAGATGATTCTGATTTGGGGGGATTCTATGCTTTGGGATGAAGATGACTTCTGTTTAGAATAAGCATTTAACTCATCATTCAACCTTGAATGATTTTTGAGAGTGAAAGTATTAATCTATTAATCTCATAAGGATAACAGGTATACACTGTGACAGTTTGGACAAACGGTATATATGGCACCCTACGGGAGAAAGGCTCAGGTCTCATGGTTGACATTTTTCCTACACCAGAAAGAGCACGTAGTCTGTCATCTAAATAGGATAAATGTGATGCCAGTTGTAGTCATGTGCAATCAGGCCTCAGATTTCACTGTATCCCTTTACTCTCCATCATTGTGTCCCTGCCTCTCCCTCAGAATTGGAGGATGGAAGAAAGGGAACTTATCTTTTATTGTCTATTTCCTTTTCTAATTCTAAAGTGCAGTCAGAGGAATGAAGCTAATTAAGCCAGTAATGATACTGATGATTATCTTTTTTTAAAGGAAGAGAACAATGTTGGTATAGAAAAAATTCTCACATATAGGCTGATACCAACTTTTTCTTTTTCTTCCCAGCCTCGATAGTTATAATAAACAAACAGAAGTTAACATCCTATGCAAGCATTTTCTGGGATATAGAGTTAAGTATCAAATTGCTGAACATATCACAAGTATTTTACATTTGCTGAGACTACCTTTCCATTAAAACTCTGTTCAATGAGGTTATAGCTTATGCTACAGTAATTATTTAGTAATGTTAATTTTTTTTTTTTTTTTTTTGAGTTAGAGTCTCACTCCAGCCCAGGCTGGAGTGCAGTGGCATGCTCACGGCCACCCCAGCATCGACCTGCTGGGCTCAGGCGATCCTTTCACCTCAACCTTCCAAGCAGCCCAACCTGCAGGCATGCACTACCACGTCCAGCTAATCTTTTGACTTTTATTTTAGATACGAGGTCTCGCCAAATTGCCCAGGCTGGTCTCTAACCTGTGGGTTCAGGCAATCCACTCACCTCGGCCTCCCAAAGTGCTGGGATTACAGGCTTGAGCCACTGTTCCCGGCCAGTAATGTTAATTTTCTGAGGAAAAAAGCAAATGAGAGGCTAGGAGTTGGGTTTAGAGGAGGGTGAGGGTTTGTTTTATACATAATTCACAGGAAATCAAAGTGGGAGTGTGCTAAGAGGTTTAAATTATTGATGTTGACAGCAAGAATTATTTGAAAGACTGTTCAGACATAAGAAACCAATATTCCAGATAGTGAGGAAAAGTGACTTAGCACAGGCTACTCTTAAATCCCAAAGTCTTAACACAAAGTATTTTATTCATACCGAATGTCTAAGGAAGGATGGCAAAGAGTGCTCATAGTCACAGAAGAGAGGCAGGCAGAGCATGGTGCCATCAACACATATTTCTGTAAACATAGTGGTGGGGAGTTGGAACATGGCAAATCACTCAGAAACAAACAAAACCAAGGTTAATTTTTTTTTAATGTGCGACAGAATTTATAAATTGAGCTTGCTGTGTATTGCTCATACAAGATTCAAAGTGATCTTTAGGTTTAGATTAACAACTAATTTTTTTGTGTTATCCTTAAAGAAAACTTATATAGATTAGCTTCTGTGTATAACTATAAGTAAAAGCATTGCAAATATTTCTATATTGGTATTTCTCATAATGATCATGTGTTATGTTTTTTAAGGTCAAGATTTCAGCTTTTCTAAAGATAAGTATTACTATTGTATTACAGAATATTGGCATTTTCCTTTCTATAACTGGATGGTTAATTTTTTTTTTTCAGGGTAAAACAAGTACAATTTCTTATCTAAATTTCAAATTTCAAAAATTTCTGAAAACAGAGTTTTTATAGAACTCGTTTGGCAACAGGCTGACCTGAATTGATGTAAAACTGTGGCCTTTATCCCACTTTAATGAGAATATGAATATATTTTGCCACAGAATTAATGTAATTGATTCTGGACTGCTTCTGCAGACCCACTGAATGTGTTACATAATGAAGAGTATATGTTCATATTACCTTTCAAAAATCGGAAAAATTGTGAATATCAAACATATCTGTCCCCAAAGATTTCAGAAAAAGGACATTGGACTTACATTTCCAGCCTTTTAACAAGGATGCAAAGAGAAATGATGATCCAAATTTAATCCACATAATTTCCAAAGCATAATTTTCAGGTTCTTAGTTTTTAAAATTATTATTCTAATATTTTTAAAAATTCATTGTTCTTTTTAGCCTGGAAATGGGCAATCCTTTGAAATGTTTGATTTTATATAGCCACTAGGTGGCATCTTTGTAAAAATAAAAGCCCATTAAAAGAAATGCTTATTATACAAATAAATGCTGAGACGACTAAAGGTAGATGTTTCATGAGAAAGTATTTGGGGCAATAAATCCTGTGAAAATGAATATATTTTTGTGAAAGGAAATTGAAAATTATATTGTAAAATTACTTTTGAAATTGACACTTTTTCCTGTTAGTTGTTTTCATTCAGTTTGTATTTACATTTAAATAACCAAACAACTGTATATTTGTGTGTGTGTGTGTGTGTGTGTGTGTGTGTGATTTTGACATGCTAATAACCTTTCCAAACTGCACAGACTATCCAGGATGCCTATTAAGTTAGGCTCCTATGACAAGACTGAGTTGTATAAAGTCATCCTCACAGCAAACTATAAGTAAAATATGATCAATTAGGGATATGCAGTCACACTGAACACTGTGACATACTTGGAGTTCTCTATCACCTGTTTTTCTTCCCTCCTTCTCCTGTCTCCTAAACCTACTGTTTTCATAGTGTCTCTAACCGGGAGGACAGTGAATGACAAATTTTGAAGAGGAAACCTAGAGAAGTGGCTGTTTAAAACAGTAAAAAATTTTTTTAAATTTAACTTTTAGATTCAAGGGGTACATGTGCAGGCTTTACATGGATATACTGCGTTATGCTGGGGTTTGGGCTTCTAGTGAACACATTACCCAAATAGTGAACATAGTATTCAATATTAATTTTACACTCCTCGCCTCCATCCCAGCCTCCCTGCTTCTGGTGTCCCTAGTGTCTATTGCTTCCATCTTTTATGGCCACACATACCCATTTTTTAGCTCCCACTTTAATGTGAGAACCTGTGGTATTTGATTTACTGTTTCTGTGTTAAAGACCAATGGAATGCTTATTAGTGTTGGAATTTAAGATACATTATGATTTTGAAGATGAGAGTGGGTGAGGAAAAAAGTTGCTTTCACATCTCCACACCTGGTCTGCACATGGAATACTAAACTTCGTGGTTACCTGTAGGCCCCTTTTCTTCCTTTGCTCTTCATGTATATGGGAAAGTGATTAAAGTGCATTTGCTTTTGCTTCAAACCATTACTAAAACGAAGCCAATTTTACTGAGAACATAATACACAGTTCATATTATTCTAGTAAAACATATTTTTAAATGAAAAAAGACTGTAAAAATGACATTGGATATTAGGAAGTTATTGGGGAGATGAGTAAAATTTTAGTAGAATGGTCTAAAGAAATGAAGACACTGAAAGGGAGGTCCAAACTTTGCCTGTACAATGACCACTTGTATACCTAATCCTGAACTGTATCCCACATCTTTAAAAAAGAAAAAAAGATAAATGAAGACACTGAAAATTATGAATAAGGGCATGGATCTGTACTATGGATAAAACATTTTAATTTTATTAATCTTACATCTTTTTTTAAATATTAAAGGGTGTTAAACATAGTAGCATGGAATAATGTTCTAAAATCTAAGCTCTGGAATCAGATTGCTTGGGTTTAATCTTGGTTCCCTCACTAAACCTGTGTGCCTTAGTTTCCTCATTAGTAAAATGGGGCTAATAGCAGTTCCTCCTTAATAAAAGTATTGTGCGGATTAAATTAGAAATATATGTAAGGTGCTTAGTGATATATACTTAATACTTAATAAAGCTGATATTCTGCAACAGGAACACATTTGACCTTTCCCTCAAAACTGTCTTCTGAATCTTTAAAAACTTTCTTAAAGAATTTATTGATAGAAAAAAACTTTGTAATTCAGTGATTAACAAAAGCTTTGCTTCTCCTGACTTATAAGAGAAATTTTTTAATAGCTACTTCCTCCTTTTCTCTTTGGCTGCCTGGAAGCTAAGAGCCAAGTTGTAAATTTAACAAAAGCAAGGAGGCAAGTACAGCAGGTACTGTGGTACATCTGTGTTCTCCTTTGACAATTTCTTGTCTCTGAATTCATATTTATGTTTTCTGTGATTCTTATTTTTTTATATCTGTAAGCTTACTGTGTTTGGGGGTCAGTGTGCCTTTTCACACGTGTAAATCGATTGTTGGAAAGAGGTTCCCGTCCGATTCAATTCCGGATCCAGTTAACCAGCAGGTAACAGGCCTGGCCTCTAGCTCCTCCCCTTTTCCCCTGCCGTGTTCCTCTGTCAACCCCTTGCCCCTGGCTCCGCCCCTCTTGCCTGTCTCTGGCTTCGCCCTTTCCTCCTGCCGCGTTTCTCCTCCCCGCCCCCTCGCCTCTGGCTCCACCCCTCACCACTGGCTCCGCCCTAGCCTCTGGCTCCTCCTCCTTGCCCCTCCTTCTTGCCTGCCTCTGGCTCCGCCCTTCCCCGCTGCCGCGTTCCTCCTCTCCGCCCCTTGCCTCTGCCTCTTTCCCCTCATCTCTGGCTCTTGCCCTTTCCTCCGGCCGTTATTCGTTTTCTCCGTCCCCTCGCCTCTGGCTCTTCCCTTTCCCGGCTGCCGCGTTCCTTCTTCTCGCCCCCCGGCCTCTGGCTTCTCCCCCTGGGCTCCGGCTCCTCCCTCGGACCTCCAGCTCCTCCCCCTAATCTCTAGCTCCTCCCCCTGACCTCCGGCCCCGCCCATTCTCCCCAACCTTTCCTTTGCTGCGCGGGCACCGCCTCTTCTCGCGGGGGCGCTGCCTTGGTGGGAGGAGGCGGTACCCGGGCCGTTGCTAGGATACGGATGGCAACGAAGAGTGCGGGGAGCCGGGAGGGTGCTTCCAGGAGCCTGAGAAACCGCTTCGACGCGAGTAGCTGCATTTCTTAGACAGGTAGGAGGGCAGGCTCTGAATGCCTTCCCCAGGCCCACCGCGTAGACCCGGCCAGGTGACTCCTCTGCGCTGGACTCGGGGCAGTACGTGCCAGGCATGATCCCGCCTGGGCTCCCGGGGCTGCCTGGCCGGTCCTTAAACACCGTGCAAAGCATCCCATCTCTCTTGAATCCTTGTGTGACTCCGCTTCTCTGATGTGGGATTCGGAAGCAGCAGCTCGGCACGGTAGCGATGTAGATGCAGGACGTGTGTGTAGCTCAGGACGTAGATGCAGGACGTGTGTGTAGCTGGCGTTAGACAGCGCTAGCCTTCCGTCTGAGGCGGCGGTGTTGTGGACGTCGAGGGCTTTTAGATTTTCCTCGCCGGTCACGCTCACTCCTTTCCCTCCACCCGTTGTCTTTGCCTCTTAACAAACTTTAAAAATCAACAAACTTATCTACTTGACAGAAGGCAAGACGGGATCCCTGTCTTACTGCTTGCTTACACTAACATTCTAGATGTACCAAGCTTTGAATAGTAAGAAACGAAATGTATTATAGGTTAAAAGGGGGACTTTTTTTGTATGCAGACATCATAAGGACTGCCCTTTTATTTTTAAATAGTAAGATTAAAACTTTTACGTTTGAAAAGATCTAGAAAATATTCAACAGGTATTTTTTTCTTCAGCCGTCTAAAGTAAGGAGTTAAGTCTATTGAGTCCTAATACCTCTCCACGTGTATATTAACATGCTTTACTAATACATAAAAATGATAAAAAGTTAAAATAGTAAAAAGAATAGTAAAAATCTGCCTTCTCCCCATCCCCACCTCCCAGAGGTTCTGTGTATAAGCAGATACGTCGCTGTACCTGAAACATTTGTGCATACCATTCTGTGCTTTGCTTTTACACTTAACGGCGTATCTTGGAATCGTTAAATATCTGTCTCATTTGTGTAAATATGGATGAATTTGCATATTTACATTTCATTGTGAAAGCTGTTTCTAAGCATAACAGGAAATTTGGAAACTCTCACAAGAAGTCTAATAAATTTCACTACCTAACAACCTAAAACTACTATGCAGTAAAAAAAACACAAACATTAAACATATAATGGGAAATATAAGTGCAGCACACACCCAAGGGATATTTAAGAATTAAGACTCATAATACAATATAAGGATGTAAAACAGCAACCAAGGGATTGTTATTGGGACTGTAATATGATGCCACTTTTTAGAAAGCAATTTGATAAAATCTAACAGACTTAAGATATGCGTGCCCTTGACTTATCCATTCTAATTTGGGAACTTGTTTTGTGGTCTACTTATACATGTATACAAAGACTGATGTGCACGATGTTTGTTGAAGCATAGTTTTTAATAGTAAACTAGAGATAGCTTAAACATCCATCAATAGGGCAACAGTTGACCATAATGTGGTTTAGCCTTGCAGTGAAATTACTATGAAATTGTTGAAAAGAATAAGGCAGAATCATGTTTTATGCAGGTATGAATGTAAGTATATATTTTAATAATAAGCTGTAAAATAGTATAAAAGTTTAAAAATGACATATAGTTTATTAAATCTATATTGATATGATCACATGCAAATTTAAATATGATAATACATGATTGTAACTTTATGGACAATTTCTAGAAAGATAAACTGTTAACACTGCCTAACATTGAGAGATAAAATTAAGATATCAAGCCAATAAAGTAGTATTTTTACTTTTTATTTTATCCCCTTTTTCCTGTTAGATTTATTTTTTCTTGTAAACATATATTGCTGTCTTCAAAAACAACAGAATCGCCGGGCTCGGTGGCTCAGCCTGTAATCCCGCGCCTTTGGGAGGCTGAGGTGAGTGGATTGCCTGAGCCCGCGGGTTCAAGACTCACCTGGGCAGCAAGACCTCATCTCTACAATAAATCAAAAAATCAGCCGGGTGTGGTAGTGCATACCTGTAATTCTGGCTACTTGGAAGGCTGAGGCGGAAGGATTGCCGGAGCCCAGCAGGGCGAGGCTGCGGTGGCTGGGAGCGGCCACTGCACTCCAGTCTGGGCAACAGAGTGAGACTCCAACTCAAAAAACAAAACAAAACAAAACAAAAAAACAGAATCAAAATAACAATAAGGAAAAAAGCACTTTTAAAGTCTTTCAAACTGTAGCTTTCCAATCTGGGCTAAAATTTTACAACATTTTATTTCACATTGTAAATATGTGTTATTTGTCATTTACATTTAATATCTGTTGCAACGAGTGTTTATGCATGTTTATATATAAGTAGAGCATGTTAATATACATGTAAGGAAGTCTTAGGAACCAATATAATTAGCTCCTTATTTTAGCTGAGTGAAAGAAAAAAATATCTGTTGAATATTTTCTACTCAATTTTAAATCATATTTCTCACTTAAAAATAAAAGACAGTCCCTGATAATGTGTCTACTGGTAAAACTATCCTTTAAATTCTGGATCTGACTACTACTAACCTAATAATGAAGCATTTCTGGATCTTAGCTTTCTAATCTATAGGAAGATCAGCAGTTTCTAAACTTTTTCTTAATTGCCAGACCCCCTTTTGTATCCCTTCAACCCTCCATGGACTTCCATCCTGAGATCCAGCATAGTGTAGTGGCTAAGAGCATGACTTCTGAATCCCGAACGCCTGGTTTTGGATCTCAGACCTCCTGCTTACTAGCCCTGTGACCTCGAACACATTATTCAACTTCTCTATGCTAGTTTATCTGTGAAATGAGCATAATAATATCATCTGTGAGGATTATGTAATTAAGTATATGTATTTACTAATATACTTTATTTTGAATGTATTTTTTTCTACTGTGTAAAATGAGTAATTATGTAATACCTCTGAGACATTATTAATGTGTAACTAATGCCTTTTGGACATTTTAGAAATAGTTCATTTGTCATTAGCTAACATTTATTAGGTGCTTACTGTGTACCAGGCACTGTTTGCTAAGCACTTTATGTATATTATTTTATTTAATTCTTACAAGAACCTTTGATGTAAAAATTAATAACATCTCATTTCACAAGTAAGGAAAATGAGATTTAAGGAGGTTAAGAAACCTCTATGTCTTATAGCCACACATCTAGTAAGTATCCAGAACCGTGAAGGGCCTGGTATTTTACTTTACTTGCAAGCTAATAAGTTAGTCAGTCACTGTTTTGAGGGTGCTGTGTCAGAGACAGTATTCATTGCAAAAGAAGCAGCTAGTGCTTAAAGATTATGCCAGTTTCCCTTGTTACTCAAGTCTACAGGTGCAGCACGAGTGTGTCTACGCCAGTGCCTGCATGTGGGGATTTTACTGCTTTTATAATGCACCAAAGAAAGCCTGTTCTTTGGTGGAAAAGATGTTATCTCAACCATTGTGGCTTCTGGAAGAAATGCCCATGGTAAACAGTGGTCATGACCTTGCATTTATATTATCCCAGCAAGAACATGTAGGAATGCTCGGGGCCTATGGGAGGTTGCTTCTGTCAACAGGAAGTTGCTCAGTCAGAATTCAAAGCTAAGCAGCCTGGCTTCAGAGTTGACCCTCCTGAAATCCACCTTGGGGAAATCAAATTTGAGAATCTCTGTACCACATAGCAGTGAGGTCCTTTCTGGTCTATAATCTGCATGAATTTATGATTTAGAAACCTTGAAATTTCTTATTTTTAAGTTGAATGGATGCTTATTACTGCTAGTTATCATAAACATAATTGCTAAACCACCCTCTTTAAAATCAACTATCAATCTGAAAGCGTATGTAATTATTTAGGTCACTTTTCATATCATTAACTAAGGACCGGCCATGAACTTTAGACACTACTATACATAAAAACTGAGGTTACAGAGAAGTGTGATCAGTACTATCTTGTTTATGAGGAGATCTGTTGCTTGGAGGAGAGCAATCCGGGACATTTAACATACTAAACTAGTAAGTGAGATGAGGATCAGCATTAGAAACCACAGCAACTAGGAAACGGAGGCAACTGCATTCACAAGGAAGGTGGAGAGGTGTGGATTTGTTAAAGGAACCACCTTATAAAATGTGACTTCTATTTTTTGACTGCACTGATTTCATATGTCTCGTGGCTTTAAATATCATCAATAGACTTCTGACTCCAATTTCTGTTTCCAGGACAACTTCTCAGAACACCAAACTGCAAACCTAGTATCCGATGGGTATTACTGAAGAGATTTTTATTTGTTTAGTTCACTTCTAAATCTCTAGACACAACTAGAAGAGAGTTTGGTAGTGAGTAGATGTCTAATAAAAATTTGTTGAAAGAGCGAATGAATTCATTTTCTAAAGTTTTTGCTGATATATAATTATTGTATATTTTTATGGGGTACTTGTGATACTTGATTCATACGTACAGTGTATAATAAGCAAATCAAGGTAATTAGGATATCTATCACCTCAAGCATTTATCATTTCTTTTTCTGGGAACATTCTAAATAATCTCTTCTAGTTATTTTGAAATATTCAATAAATTATTGTTAACTATAGTCACCCTACCATGCTATCAACGCTAGAACATACTTCCTCTCTCTAAGTGTATTTTTGAACCCATAATCCCGTCTCACTTCATCCCTTCTTCCTGCTACCCTTCTTGGCATATACCATTATTCTACTCTCTACCTCCATGAGATTAACTTTTTTAGCTTCCACATATGAGTAAGAACATGTGATATTTGTCTTTCTGTGCCTGACTTATTTCACTTAATGTAATCTCCCTCAGTTCCATCCATGCTGCTGCAAATGACAGTTTTATTCTTTTTTATGGCTGAATAATATTTGTATATAATACCACATTTTCTTTATCTGTTCATTCAGTAATGGACACTTAGGTTGACTGACGATTGTGAATAGTGATGCAGTAAACATGAGAGTGCCGATACCTTTTAGGTATTCTTTCTTTGGATATATACCTAGCAGTGAAATTGGAAATATACCTAGCTGGATCATATGGTAGTTCCGGTTTTAGTTTTTTTGAGGAAACTCCATA